GTCAGCATTTTTATTTTAACTGTTCATGTCTTTTGCAATTGAAAGTTTCTGACTTTCTACCAAAAAGAACCAATGCAAACTTTTAATTCTACCAACGGTTTTTTTAATTCTATTAACGTTTATTTTTTGTGTGTACCAGTTGCAGGATGAAGCATTCCATCAGCTGCAGTGGAAAAATCATCGACGTTATCGAAATCATCAGCAGCGACGTCTTCGGAAACCGGGTAGACATAACATAAATAACATATTTATAAAATATACACCGAGGTGAATTTCCATATACCTTTTATGTGTGAAACCACATAGTTTTTTGCAATTAGACTTCACAAATAAAAAATATGTTTGAAGAACATATAAATTATTTGGTTTCCCACCAATACATTCAATGGCATATAAGAAATGAATTTAATTTGCTTTGGTAAATAGAATTTATGTGTGACGTTTATAACATTTATTTCTCGGTAGAACATAAAGATTATGTGTCTAATTCAAATGAAAGTCATGGTACAAATAATAACGCTTACGTGTCAATTTCATATATTTTATGTGCTATAAATATAAATAAAATAATAACAATACAGACTCTGGTAAATTATTTATTTTCCTGAAGATTTTACACCGTCACTGACGTCAGTGGATTGTATATTCCCGCGTGAAGGCGTTTTTGGTTTGAGTCCTCCGATGTATGTCGAAGGCGAGGTCGAAGGTGCCTCGGAGGGTCTAGCGTATACATCGCCGCCTTTAGTCTCTACGTCCTCTTCCTGCGCGTCCTCTTCCTGCGCGTCCTCCTCCTGCACTTCCTCCTCCTGCACGTCATCCTCCTGCAAGTCTTCCTCCTACACGTCCTCCTCCTGCACGTCCAACAGGAAGAATCCCTGTGTAGAATTCACAAAAAAAATAATCTCAAACAATTAAAATTTTTGCACTAACTCACGTTTGCCTTATGCCATTTAGGTATCCGACGGAAGATTTAGGTTTCCTCTGATTTTAAAGCTTCTCCGAGCTCATCACGGCTGTTGGCTAATGTTTATGTGAATTTTGTTTCACTGAAAACAATCGAAAATAATAGTTTTATGGTAAATAGTTAAAGATAAATGAGATAAATTATTATTTACCTTTGAGAATGCTCAAGTTTTGTTGGAAGATGGAGACGATTTAGCACAATTTGTGCAATAGTGTGCACTGAATTGAAGCACTTAAACATTATGTGTGAAAACACATAACCTTCATCTATGAGATTCGAACCATAATTTTTATGGCAGCATACATATAAATAAAATTTGACACGCATATACGTGATATGGACTAGCTTATAGTAGGTAAGGGGTTTATTATGAAAATTATGTGAACACGTATAAACATAATGTTTTGAATATCTTATAAAAATTATGTGCACAGACAAAATAAACATTAAGTTTAGAATTTTATTAGTGTAGTATATGCTATTAAATATTATCAAGAAATTAAAAATAATATAAATAATTAAAAAAATATTATATTGAAAATGATTGTTTTTAAATTGAAAACATTTATTTTTCCTATTCAAAGTGGTACATTTTATTTACACTATATTAAACTTTCATGTCAAAAGTTTGTTTGAAACACGCTGTTAATTTAAATACTGCCATGCTTTCAATTTGACAGTTCTACAACTCGATTTGAAAGTTTCAACTTTTAAGAGTAGGGGTTGGGCAACTTTTGAATTGACAGTTTGATCAACAATCAATACGAAACTAACGATTTTAAATTGGCTCACCACTTTAGTAGCCTGTTGGTCCCAAGCAAACGATTAACGTACCCTATTCTAGTTGAAATTCTATTACTACACTATGTTTGTTTTGATTCGCTATGAAAGTTTGACAGATAACATCAGGGGTGTGTGGATTCATGCAGAACATGCAGGGGTGAGTGAAATAGCTTGGGACTGCTTGGGACCGTTGTTCTGGTACTGAGTGAGCCAAAAATAATAATGATTTTCTTCGGGACCCAGTGGTCTTAGAGTTACCTCTATGGTTTGATTACTTTCGTTTTGAAAGCTAGCCGCTTTCTACCAAAAAGAACCAATGCAAACTTTTAATTCTACTAATGGTTTTTTTAATTTTATTAACGATTATTTTTTGTGTGTATCAAACAACAACATTTTTCCATGTGAAAGTAACTATTAGGATTGTTATCTAACTTAACGAATTTGTTCTCCGTGAACCAATGCAAACTTTTAACTCTACCAATGGTTTTTTTAATTTTATTAACGATAATGCTTTGTGTGTACTTACCCTAATACATTTCAGCCGGTGTTATACAATAATTTCGCCGTTTCATAGAGCGTATGCTCCGACACGGCAGGCATTTTTATTAAGTCCCGGATTTGGCTGACTGAGTGGCTTTTACTCAGTTTGGCATTTCTCGTTTACTCAGATTTTGACAACCTAATGCATCGGATGAAATTTAGTACGATCGACTAAAGCTTTCTAGTTAAAGTATGGACGACTGTCACCACAAAACTGAAAAAAGCTGTTCCAATCGAGCAAAACGGTGCATTTTGACGGTTCGATTGGAACAATTTTTGACAGACGTCCATAGAGCTTTTTGACGTTTAATCGGCGCACACTACTGCACCATTTAAATCGAACGAGTGCGAGCAAGAGGGAAACAGATTAGTGGGAAAACAAACCGTTCATTCATCCATGTGTGCTAGATAGAGAAAGACGATTAAACGTCAAAAATCTAGCTTTCATACTTTTACTGAAGGGCCTAATAAAAATGTTATGGTTAATTTGCTTAACGACGTGTTCGGGGTATCATCCAAACCATTTGTGGAATTGTTCAATCATTTGGGTTACCGTTCGTTTATGGTTATTTTTTATTAGGGGGGCTTTACGATAGACTCACCCGGTGAGTAAACTGAAGTAAGCGTGAGGAGCACTGTTAGCGGAAATGGGTATTTTTATACCCATTAATGGGTTTTCGCCTAAGAGGAGGCAATACGAGGCCGAAACGAACCACTTTTCTGTCAAACGCGAACCATCTCGTGATTGGCCGATTTTAAGTGCGTAAGATAGAGATAGATAGAGATAGAGATAAAAGAGTAAGAAGCCAGTTGTCTCCTCTTTCTCTTACACAGAGAAAAGAAAAAAATATCCTAAATTTAAGTTCTTTTTACTTAATTTTGGGTAGTTTTGAGTTTTGCATCTCACTCTCACTTTTTGTTGTTGTCAAAAACGGAACGAGAGATTCGATTTTCTCATGACTATCGTTCAATAAGCCTTGCAATAAGCTACGTGTGAGTATGAGGTACTCTGAAATTTGAATCAATTGAACTTAATTTTGTAGAAAATACACACGGAACCAAATTTTGTTCATTTTAGTTAAAAATATATATGTTTATTAAATAATAATATGAATAGTTCAAAGTAAATTAAAAACATGCTTTCACAAAAATATGTATGTTTAAATTAAATTCAAAAGCATGTTTATTTCAACAATACATAATCTGGGTAATCAATTTTTAGCGTGTCCTTTTTTTCCTTCTTGTTTACATTCGGCAAACTTAACCGAAAACGGCCTGCAAGCGGCGAATCCGAAGTATACTCTATAGAGGGTCTGGAATTTGTTACATTGGTCTATTTGAAAAGTGACGCGAGAAATTAGCTTATTATAGAGATGAGTGAAAATAATTGGGTAATTTTTCGGTTCCGTAGGTTTTCGCGAAACACCGTCGTGGATTCACGGGATTCACTCGAGTTTTTCGCAGATGTCATGTGCACGTTATTCCGAAAAAACCCATTAATGGGTATAAAAATATCCATTTCGGCTGAATGTGCCCCTCCTCATTTATTTACTCATTAATGGGTACCCATTTTCTTAAGTTGTGTTTACCGTAAAATGGGTGAAAAAATACCATTTTAAAAATGGAGGATGTAAGTTCTTCACGGTGTTTCGTGAAAACCCATTAATGGGTAAAAAAATACCCATTTTCAAACCATGTATGCAGCTGTCAAAAAATGGGGGAATTTTGAAATCCTAAAATGGGTGAAAAAATACCCATTTAAAGAATCAGTTCACGGTTGAATAATGGGTATATTTTTTACCCATTAATGGGTGAAAAAACACTTCGAAATTTTATCGTCTCATTTCCGTCACCGGCTCATTGGGAATGCAAACCTCGATGCAAACAGTTACTGTCCGCAGCAACGATCTCCGGAAAATGTTAGAATCCAAAACGTTGGAGAGGCTTACGGATAAGTCAATACAATGGATAACTTGTATTATAATGTTTCGTGAAAAATTTGAGCGGAACACCTGCATTTATTTTCAATGTTTTAAAAACATTTTTACATCAACGATCGCTTGCATCCTCCATTTGTAAAAATGGGTATTTTTTCACCCATTTTACGGTAAACACAATATAAGAAAATGGGTGAAAAAACACCCATTTATTGACAGACCACCCATTTACCCATTTATGAGTAAACCATAGTTTACCCATTAAATGAGGAGGGGCACTTTTAGCGGAAATGGGTATTTTTATACCCATTAATGGGTTTTCGCGAAACACCGTGTTGGTTATTTGCCCTTGTTGATATTAAAAACTTTTTAACGTTTCGGATTCTATTCTTTTCCGGAGATCGCCTATTTTCGCTAAATATGCTGCGAACATAGTAACTGTTTGCATTCCCAATGAGTCGGTGACGGAAATGAGATGATGAAATTTCGAAGTGTTTTTTCACCCATTAGTGGGTAAAAAATATACCCATTATTCAATCGTGAACTGATTCTTTAAATGGGTATTTTTCACCCATATTATGATTTCAAAATTCCCCCATTTTTTGACAGCCGACGTGGTTTGAAAATTCGTATTTTTTACCCATTAATGGGTTTTCACGAAACACCGTGGGGTTTTAATCGACCGTGCTATTTTCGCGTGACGTTTGTCGGAGTTGTCAAAGCGATAGAATAAAATTTTTGTAGTAAAAATTTACTACTCTGTTATCTCTTTTTTTATACGGCCGGTGTAATGTATGAAGACTCATCGTCAATATATTTCTACGTGCTATTTTCTATACGTTTCTATTTTCAGACTATAGTTTGTACAATGGCAAAAATTCACGAAGCGCTCAAACCAATCCAGTGGCTTATCGGAACTTGGGAAACGGTCAGTGCTAAGGGTCATTTCCCAACTATAAAAGACTTCGTTTATTCCGAGGTGCTGAAATTCGAATCACTTGGTCAACCATTGCTGAACTACGAAGCTCGTTCCCGTAACCCCGTGTCTGGTGCACCGATGCATTTGGAGAGTGGTTTTTTGCGAATCAAACCAGGTACAAATCAATTGGCATTTATGATCTCGCATAACTTTGGCCTCGCAGTATTAGAGGAAGGTACGGCATGTGAAAACGGGCTTGAATTGGAAACCAAGTCCATCAGTCGGATGTCGTTTGCCAAAGATCCATCAGTGAAAGCTTTGAAAAAGACTTATGTATTGAATAAAGATGGAACACTGGAAATTCGGACCGATATGGAAACCAGTAACACTGCAATGACCAACCACCTTGTGGCCGTTTATAAAAAACAAGAATAGGAGAATTAAAAAAAAATTAGGGCAAATAGTAATAGCTGTAGCCCTCGGTGTTGCTAGTTATAAACCACTGTGAGTTGTGAGCCGGCATATGATGAATAGCGTTGTTATTAGGATCCACATTATGATACGCTGTTGATGGTGCTGGTGGCGGTACCGAAGGTGGTGGGTTATATGAAGGTAAATCATAACAGTATTCGACAGCGTGAGGTGATGGAGTTGTCGGATATTGTAGCTCACGCTGTAGATGCCGAATGTATTGGATAGCAAGTCTGAAAACAAAAATAATGAAATACATATTATTTTTCATGTAATTTAATCAATTATTGGATGACCAACTGCCTTTAGGAAAATTACAAAATATTTAATATATGATTGAACTGCTGGTATATACCCACCTGAGACATTCAATTTTAGAATGCTTCTTGCCAGATGGTTTAGTGTGGGGTAGTTTCATACGAAGCAGATCAAAAGCACGGTTCATATCACGCATTCGGGTTCTTTCACGATCACATGCTGTCTTTTTGTAATCTGAAATACAAAGAAATGTCGTTAAAATAACGTACATAATAAAGTTGGAGTCAAATCCCCTAACATAGCTACACGGAGAACAATTAACGAATCGATTTGTGTACACAAATTATTGAAACAGGATTAATACATTCAAAAGAAACAGTTTGAACAATTTTAGGAAGTGGCAGTTATTTCATTTAATGTTGATAAATATTAAGAAAAACGGGATTTCATATTAAAACGCCAGTTTCTAATTTCAAACAATGCAATATTAAACACTAACGTAGACACTCGCCACCCCCCACACTCCCCCTATAGTGTCTACTAGAGAGGGTCTAGTATAAAAGAGAATGTCTGACCGTTTGTCAAATTTAAAAATGGTGTTGGCTACTCCCCAACACTCTTTGCATGTTGATCTCAGAAATCATGCGAAGACTTTTTCGACGTGAGGATGCGAAGACTTTTTCTAAACTCGTTGTGAGCCGCACAAAATGAGGCCGCGGGCCGGATTTACAAAGTGAAATACATATAAAAAATACCAGTATCATCACTTATGCCGTGGATACACTTATATGACAATATATGTGAGAAAGCAAAGCAGTCACGCTTACCACTACACCACCGGCGTCAGCCTCGGCATTACTCACACATGAAAGCTGCCTATTCCAAACTGGCAGAACGCGCCCTAACCCTCAAGGCCCACGCACATCAAGCCCCACGTGACAGCTAAATCTATTGTCTAACTGCCAAATTTACGTCAACGCAACGCAAACGGATCTAACAACAATCAATACGAAACTAACGATTATAAATTGGCTCACTACTTTACTAGCCTATTGGTCCCAAGCAAACGATTAACGTACCTCTTCTTCTTCTTCTTCTTCTTCTTCTTCTTCTTCTTCTTCTTCTTCTTCTTCTTCTTCTTCTTCTTCTCCTTTATTTAACGTCGGTCTCTGTTCCGCAATCTAGTGCCAATCACCGACGGACATCGATTGCCATCCATTGACGGCAACCGAATGTGCAGGAAGGCAGCTTCCACACCTGCGTAGGATATCGCACCCATTCACAACACACATGGACCGGGACCAACGGCTTTACTTCCCTTCCGAAGGAAGACGTGACCAGAGATTTTTATGCCTCAGAAAAATCCCACCGACCTCGGCTGGGATTGAACCTACTACCTACTACTACCTGACTCATTGGGGTGTTAGAAAGCAGTCACGCTTACCACTACACCACCGGAGCCGGCTTTAACGTACCCCATGCTAGTAGAAATTCTACTACTACACAATGTTTGTTTTGATTCGCTATGAAAGTTGGACAGATAAAATGAGGGGTTAGTGGATTTTCCTATGTTTCGAAGGGTGAATCGATTAGCTTGGTACTGAAGAGAGTACCAGAGCTGCGCCAAAAAGTTGAGCACGTTATTTCGGGACCTTCTAGTCTTAGAGTTACCTCTATGGATCTAATGTGGGCAAAACCAAACCAAAGGGCAGGAATTGGTCAAAAACTGAACCTACCCATAAATTGGTAAACTTTGCTGGGAGTGACAAGTTGGCAAATGAACAACATCGATCGAATTCATGCCGATATTGTCTATTTGTCAACTTGTCACTCCCAACGGGGTGGGACACCTTGGCAGAATATCTCCCATATTCACGTTTTCGTTCAAACCGTATTTTCAATTAAAAAAAAAGTTTTTTTTTATAGAAAATACGGTTCGAACGAAAACAAGAATATGGATTTATAGGGGAAATGGCTCTAATGTTGGCCTATGGATCTAAGATTGGGGCCATCGCTAAAAATCTACTATTTATCAATTTTATCTAGACGAACGCGTCATTGGGACGGTATTAATGGATATTTTTGGTCGCTATTGAAAATTTAATCGATTGTTGTTGACAACTTGTATTTATGTATCAGTCTAATTTTTAATTTCACAAATCTCGGAAATTAGAGTTCCATTTCACCTGAAATAGCCACTGCAAACGTGAAGTAACAGCTTCATTGTAGTACGTGTCGTGGAAGCTGATATTGGTGCACTGAAAGTTTCGAAGTGGTAGCGAGAATAAGGATCTCACAGCGAACCACTTTAGGCCGACATTACATCCATTTCCCCTACCTATGTTTTTTTTTATATTTTCGGTTCCTTGACTTACAAAAGTTATTAACGAATGTGAAAGTCGACGAAGATAATTCACCAAGTACATTCAGCTTGATATTTTCGAATAAACTAAGAACAAATTTGTTAAAGTAAAATAACAATCCTGATAGTCGCATTCACATGGACAAAGATTGTTGTTTAGAAGAAACCAACATTAGTTTGACCGTCAATTCAATAACTACCTAAAAGATTCAACTTAAAATTTAATCAATTTGACTCTTTAGCTGAGTTTAATCATATCGAATGATTAAAAATTAATTATATCTTGCTAAAAAAATAATCATCTGACAATAAACCCAATTTAATCATGTTTGATTAAATTGATAGTTAGGTATCTTTTGTGAATTAATTTTAATCGTTTTTGATTCCATTTTAATCATTTTAATTGATTTTTAATCTTTTTTCAATGATTTTTAATCTTTTTTGTTTATATATTAATATTCTAAAAGAATAAAAAATAATACCGAAAAGGCCTCCCTCATCTTGGTCAATATGGTAACGGACGGAGGTGGAAATACTCGCAAACAATGGGCGATTGTCTATGAATGCATGTTAAAATAGGTTAAAACGAGTGTGACAGCGATTTGTTATGCATTTTCCTCGGATTTCACTAAACGCTTTCACATACCGCACCAATACACTGCCGTTCTACGCATATCAGTCCCATGTTTCAAAAGTTGCTTCTGAGAAAATCGCGAATATTGTTTCAATTCATTTCTCCTCATTGGAAGATATATACGTTAAGATAAGTTCAATTCAATCAATATGTTTTAGTGAAAACTACAGAAATTACCTTCCATGAAATCAGTTAACACTATTTTTATACGAACAATATGTAATGGGACTGTTATGCCTAGAAATTTGCACTAAAGTAGGAAATTCTACGCATGTTAGTCCCACTAGGAACTGTTACTGCCAGTGTTGCTTTGATGGCCACGTTGCGTTTGACGTATTTACTCTTGTGATTACATGAGCGTGCTTGCGTTCTCCGCAGTTTTGGAAGACCCTGGATAGTTTGTATAGCTTGCCATCATTAAATTATACCAACAATAAATTTGTTGACACTTCTATAAAATCATTAAAAGTATGGTCATCTCAAGAAACTAATGATGAATGCACTATTTAGAACATAAACTTCTTAGCATCTTGTTCTACTCCTTAGCAAGATGAACGTAGGCCTAAAAGAGATTGTGCTTAATCATTTTGACCATCTATTTAAGATTTCAAGAAATACTTTGGAAGAGTTGACATGCACATTCAAATTTCTTCCGTACGGAGTTGACCTTTATACTACGTATTATTATATTATATAAGGAGCTTTTCATGAAACACGAAGACACTAGAGAGGGTCTAGTATAATAGTACGTTCAGACTACAGCGTTATAACATATTATAGCGCTATCTTGATGGTGGTTTAGTTGTTGAAATTTGTTTTTCTTCAAAGTAATTGATAGATTAGAATCATAGCTTACTATGGATATGCAAAGAGTAGGCAAATCTTAACATTTGAATCAACACCAATGAATTTTACGCTTAAAGTCCGAGATGTGTAGCGAGCATTTCTCACTTCATTTTTACAACGCAAAAACAAATACAGTTTATTGCTAGAACTAAAATCTTGTTTTTTACGTATCTATAACAAGCTTAAACTCTATTCTATCTACTACTTCAAAAAGAACTATGTTTCGTCAACTGTGTTCAAAGTTATTGGCAAATGAGCAGTTCGTGACAAAAACTGTGTATGCCAAGCATGCTAGAAACTACCCAGGCATAGGTTGCCAAGGCAGTTTGTTTTGAATCCGCGCCCCAACAAACAATTCAGTCACAAATAAGCATACACATTGAATAAATGCTGTATAACAGTGTACAATGCTGAATAAAACAGGATGTCGAATTATGTGCTGAAAAAAGCTCATTGATATGATTAATTTACTTATTGAAAGCTTTATAAACGTTGACTTTCTTCCTGATTCAGAACCAGAAGTTTGATCTAATAACAAACTGAATAAGTGTAATTTGCACATACATTGTCGACTGTTTTCAATTTATTAAATAATATCCTTATTAGACGTCCAATAATTGTTTTATAGCTCCAGATTCCATTGCATTGCTTTACTAAATTGCTGAATAAAGGTAGATACAGTCAGCATAATAGCTCTTATACCACTATGCGTCCATGTTTTAATGGCATGCATTGTACATGCTTTATAAACGGCGTATTAGATTCATTATTCCACAACACTGTCCAGCAAACAATTCAGAGTCACAAATAAGCATATAGATTGAATGAATGCTTTACAACAGTGTACAAATTATGTGCTCAAAAAACTATTCCGCTGATTTCTCTGATTTGATTAATATACTTATTAAAAGCAATACAAATGATGACTGTCTTCCTGATTCAGAACCAGAGGTTTGATCTAATAACATACTGAATAAGTGTAATTTGCATATACATTGACGCTTTAATTCGACTGTTTTAAATTGATTTAATAAAATGCCTTATTATACGTCTAATAATTGTTTTCTAGCTCCATTATTAGATTCCATTGCGTTGCTTACCAATATTGCTGAATAAAGGTGAATACAGTCAACATAATAGCTCTTATACCACTATGCGTCCATGTTTTAATTTCATGCTTTAACGGCGCCGGTGGTGTAGTGGTAAACGTGAAAAAAAAAAAATCATGCTTTGTAAATGCTTAACAAACGGCGTATTCATTAATTATTCCACAACACTGCTTCAGGCTAACAACAAAACGAAATTGGTAGCATAGTGGTTACCGTTTCCGGTAACCAAGTTCAATCCCAACATCAACCCTTTTTTTATTTATTTTCTACGCCTAATTAATTTAAATTGTAATCATAGATCGTATCACTCACGATAACCAATTCATAGATCTATCGAAAAGAAAAACATCCTTTCCATCGAAATTAGAAAGATTGAGAGGAAACGTTGGTCTCATGTTAAACAACTATGAATAAATTAATCATTCTCACATCTCCTTGAATTAGCTAGAATGCTGATAGGTTTTCAGATTCAAGCTTTTATTGATTATTTAGCTGCCCATATGATGTAATCTAGGATAGCTCAGATGGTAAGGCAAGCGGCTGGTGATCGGAAGGTCATGGTTCGAATCCCATCTAACTAACGGACATGTATGTGTATGTATGTATGTAGTAAATTTTCTAGTTCTGTATGGTGGGTGCGTGCTTCGACAGAAATAATGACACAACAATCACGAACGAAAAAAACAACCCTGCTCTGTTCCGTTCTTATTTTCGGATTAATTATCCCGTCGTTGAATAATCGTTTAATAAACGTATACCATCGCTGTTTTAAGGATGTTAATGATGTCTAATAAACGCTGAATAATCAAAAAATTGATCAAATATAAAGCTCTGTTTACAACTCTTGTAAGTCGAAGCTTCTCGACATACCTTATTCAACACCAAATATTTCAGATTTGTGTGAATAAAGCCTGAACAGAAGTTATTATTAAAAATAGTACAAATATTATTAAGCATGCAGTCACAGCATTGGAACTTCGGATCAGAAAGTGGCTCCACTTGTCATTTGCGAACACTAACGCACCTAGCGGTAGAAGGCATCTTCTGTCTGCAGTTAAGATAGGCAGCATGCTATGATAGTGTGAGTGCACATAGATAGCCCGTGTGGAACGCTACCACAACACATCGCATGTTGAGCAGAAAAACGAACCATTTTTGATTCACCGATTTGTTTGCAGTTCCCTTTCTGTTCTGTGATGCAGTTGAATAAAATCGTCAAGGGGTTGGCAATTATCCACGGCTTATACAAAATTATTATTTTTTGTATGGAAAATTGTCTACGCAGGGGGAGGGGGGGGGGGGGGTCAAGAATCCGAAAAAAACTGTCTACGTAGTTAATGCACTGCCCCCAACAGGTTGTTTCTTCAATAGACAATTGTTTGTTGGGATAAACACTATAGAGGTATTGCAATTATGTCATGCATTCCTAAAATGTTTGAAGCAATTGTTAATCAGAAAATATTTAAGCAGGTTAAGCACCGCATTTCATACTAATCTTTTAGAATTTGTAAACTTTTCTATTGAAGCAATGGATAGAGGTTATACCGATGAAACCTTATACACTGACAGAGTAGACAATGTCATACTACTAGACATTCCCTTAGCTTGGGCCGAAGAAAGTACCAGAGTTGAGCCTTCTGGTCTTAGAGTTCCCTCTATGAATGAACGTCCTTTGAAGAAACCGTGTTGTATGTTAGTGAAACAGTGATTCTGTTTTTGGTTTAATGGAACAGATTATCGATCGCTTCATCGGTCCCTCCCCATGGACATGGAGGTTGACGGTACTGAAGCAAAGGGTTATGTTTAATTTCTTTATATTTGCAACGATGATGATTTCCTATAGTGACACATATCACCTTCTTAATGCTTCAGTATACCTCAAACGATTAATTCTTGGTTGTTAATAGAACTTCCTTGATGCAATCGGCTGCATTATGCAGACTGAGCAATTCTGATTATAGTATCAGATTTGTTCTGTATACAGAGGAACTGGGAGGGCTTATTAAAAACTTCTCACCAATAAAGTAATGATCTTCTTGTAAATTTTGCATATAATTTTATTAATATTTTATTTTATTTAAGCATATTATTTTTGTTACAGTCAATTTGCATTAGCATATGATACAAGAGATTTAATATTACTTGCTCGTTTTCGCGTAAAATAATCAATATTTATCTTACTTGTAATTACCTTTGAAAGTTTTTTTTTTGTGATCTGAAAATTTACCCAGTTTGGTTAGAAGTTTCGAAGATAACGCATGTCCACAGGCCTAATAGAAAGATAGGCAGAACAAGTGTATCATTAAGAATGGTTGCATGCAGGGTTGCTTCCACTCACTTGCTATAGATGAGTGATTTTCGGAGTTTTGAATTCGTTAGATGTTGTAATGGAGATTTGTGCTGTTGGATGCGGGTGGAGATTGGAGGGCGGGTGTTTGATGCATAGAGCCTGTCAATTTCGCTTTCAGAGTGTCGCAGTCATCGGTTTTATGATTCGTGAGCGCTCGCGATTCGTAGAATCGTTGATTGGGGATTTGACGGGTTTGGTGTGTCGGACGCTTGTTTTTTTGGCCTCTTCTTGTATCTAATATGTGCAGAGTATCATTATAACGTCTAATGGTTTTGAGATTCCTGGTGGCGTGAAATATATTAGTGAGAATATCTTTTTGAGATTTTAGCAGTCACGTTTTGTTTGTAGTTTATATTTTATTTATTTCATGTAATTATCGTAAATAATAGTTATTCAAAGCGCTGTGGATTATAAGATGCTCGATGACCCTCGAGGGATCGATTTTGCTTACTGAGCAGAAAATCATGGATTTAACCCCAAGCTCTTCCACAGCACAATAAATCGCCACCATCATTTGTATATTTGATATTGAACATTAACCTCGGAAACTATTTGCATATCAAGCGAAAACGTAGTCCTGTATTGTCGCGAAGCGTTATGGTTCTGAGATGCTCGATGACCCTGGAGGGATCGTTTTTGTTTACTGAGCAGAAAATCATGGGTTTAATCCCAAGCTCTCCATCATGACTCTTAAAATTCATTATCACTAAACAAAATTAATATGTTCTTTCGATAGCCGGCTATCGAGAGATTAAATAAACAACAAATAAACAATACATACTTTTGGTTGCATCGCCAACTTGAGGTGAATCCTAGCCAAATACCCTACCCAACCCTCCAACTCCGTAGCACTTATGAGGGTGTCGCTAAGTCGGTGGCCTCTCGTTAAGTAAGTACTACATCAACATTTCCTTCCTTATCCCTAGTTATGGTAAAGATGGGCGTGGCCGGGAATAGCGACAGTCATGCTTCTGTTACTCTTGTTTAGATTGGAACCAATGTTTACTCCTCAGCATTATTCCTGAAAGTAGTCTAACTGAGAATTTCAGAAGAGACGTGAGTGTCGCTAGTATCCAATCTACGAAGTATATCATAACAACGCTAACGCTAACGCTAACGCTAACGCTAATGGAACAGATTATCGATCGCTTCAAAAAGCTTTGGAATACAAAAAATAATGCCAATTCCATGATAATGATCTTACTTCTCAACCAGGTAATTAGCGAACAATTTTGGAGTGTACACTCCGTTGTAACGCCAATGGGTTAAAACTATTTTAACGTAGTTGAAGAACTTTTTTGCTAGCAAGATTTTATTGCCATTTCAGGGAAAAAAATCTACGAAACCGGAGTATGACGATAATTTGACGCCAAATGATAATTTTTCTCTTAATTAGCAATATTTCATGTTCCGGTTTCCTAAAACGCAATATCAATGACCAAATTGAATTTATCGCAAATGTGCAAATAGTGTTTCAAGCGATTCCATACTTATGATGGGTAGTGTACTTTCCTGATAAATGAAAAAATCCCAAAGTTGTTCCAACCAAAATCCAGCTGAAATTTCAAGATATTTGAATTTGAATCAAATATTCATAAATTAATCATAAGGCAAATGTGTCATAAATGTCCTTGACGCAGTGTATTTAGATTCAAACCCATCTAATTTTTCATTTTTGCAGGATGGAGGATGCAGTTGTTTATTCTATGTGATAGTTTATATTAAGTCTCCGTGTTTGAGTCTGATGACAGCTTGTCTGGATTTTTTGTTGTTGCTTGCATGAGAAATATTGTGCCGAATATTTTATAATATTATTACCTTTTTCCATTTCAAGAGCTCGCCTTTTCCAAACAGTTGTATCCAATTGGTTCAATGTATCAAAATTACTCGAATTTTTGAAGAATGAACTCGTGTTGGAAGCACCATATCCGCCAATCGATGTACAAACATGTGAATTGACGTGATTGTCACCACAGTATCTTTTGTCGATATTCCCTATGCTTTCAGATCGGTCACTGCTTGTAGAACAGGATTTTGAAAAATCTATTGTAGCAACAGGGAAATTTTCAATTCTGGAATTAATCTGCAATAACGTTTCCGGTGGTGACGACGATGGTGGAGTTACTTTTAACACATTTTCCGAAACAGATTGCGCGTACAAAGCTCGACTTGAAGAGCGTAAAACACGTGGTTGAATTTTGTCACTGCTCATTATAGTTGCACTGGTTCCCAACACTATCTGATGCGCGCTTGGAGATTGTTCTACATCTTTTGTACTATCCGTCGCTTGAAGCTCATTACCACTGTCCACCTCGACGTCCAGAGAAGAATTGCTTGTCGACGGGTAGTCATGATCATTACTCAGATCGATTGGAATTAAGTCAGCAATATTCATTGCGCTTTGTGAAACACACTGTTTTCAATAAACAATAACTCTTTATCGGAATATATACAGAGGTATTAAAACTTTGTTTGGAGAAAAAAGGTCTGTTCCATTGCAACGTGTGATTAGAAATAAAAAACAGATTGTGGGCAGTGCTACCTAGCTTCCATAGTCAATTCTACCATCCTGTGGACCACATAAGCGAGTGATGGATAACGTCTGATGAACCGTATACAGAAGCCACGTGGTTGCTGGAAAAGAGCTGCCGGGGAAGGGAAAATTCTAATGCACAAGGCGCAACGAACTAAGCTTGCGGGTGGGACAAAACATGCGTCGATAAACGAAAGAGAGCAGAAGTAAACTAATGCTGCTCATTATTCGAATATCGCGCAGTATAATTGAACAAAATGGAAATATTTTTATTTATTTTTCATTTCTTTTTTACCTCGGCACATACTGGCAGTGTATTTCCTTTTCTCCTTCTAGACGACAAATGTGTGCACAAGTGGTTTCGAATAGCCTCTACTGAAAATATGTAACACGTACCTACCTTGTCACCTATTCATCTTGTCGAGAACATTTAGATACGGTCCATCATTTTCCTTCAGTTGAATGATTCATAAATGAGTAATGCTATTATATTCTGTAAAGATTTTACGTTTTTTTTTTCTAGAGGCCACCGACGATGATACAATTTTAAGGAAAAGAAAAAAAAATCAACCGTTCGCAATGTCTGAATGTATTTGGAATGAATATTAACCCTCGGGGTCTCTCTTAACGCATTCGGTAATGAACCGGTGTAAGAATTTTTCGGATTGGAAAATTTACAGCCTGCTAGGATTACTGCACTATGGTCGTGGATGGGAATGCAGAATTTATTAAAATTTTAGACGTATGATATTTTCCAGAATGCTCCTTCTTTTAGCCATAGAAAAAATAGTGACATAGTCACGAGTTCAAATCTCATCCCGGACAAACCACTACCTGTTAAAGCGACGATGATAAATTTTATTTAAACGTATTCTTCTGCAATGCTGTATAATTTAAAACTACGGTGATGAAGTATTACATGTTTGATCTCTTAACGTTCTCGTTTTAATGAAATGTTTTGCTCTGAGCGAAAAAAGCACTTGCAAATGAACAGTTTTTGGAGAAATGTGTGAACTGATCAAATTGTGGTTGTACAAGTTTTGGTGAAATTTTGCACAGAAAACGATTTAAAAGGCATTGTTATTTTTTTCAAAAAATGTAGCTACCAAACTTTCAAAAATTTGATCAAAAGATGTTGTTTTTCGACTTTTGTAAATTTTTCCCTGTCCAAGATTTTCATTATTCCAAAAGTTTGCATTTTTCAAAAGCTTTTTTAGTAACAAAAAAAAGTAAAATATTGAACATGGAAATTGCCGGCGCCGGTGGTGTAGTGGTAAGCGTGACTGCTTTCTCACCCCAATGGGTCTGGGTTCAATCCCAGCCGAGGTCGGTAAGATTTTTCTGAGGCATAAAAATCTCTGGTCACGTCTTCCTTCGGAAGGGAAGTAAAGCCGTTGGTCCCGCCCAAAGGCTGTGTCATATGTGTTGAATGGGTGCGATATTCTACGCAGGTGTGGAAGCTGCCTTCCTGCACATTCGATTGCCGTCAATGGATGGCAATCGGTGTCCGTCGGTGATCGGCACTAGATTGCGGAACAGAGACCGACGTTAAATAAAGGAAATGAAGAACATGGAAATTTTTTGTAATTTTAGTTTTTAATACCTTTTTGAAATTTTTGTTAAAAAGTATTATTTTTTTACCGTGTATATTTTTACTAAAAAAAATCATTTTTTCCCTAAAACTCAGACGTTTTTTCGATTAGAAGTAACGTTTTCATGCTACGATTTTTTGAAAAAAACACCATTAAAAAAAACTGCGGGGTTCACAATGGTGGAATTTTAACAAACAATTATCTATAGCTTCACATAGTCCACTTAATGCAAAATAATTTCTGCATTACGTTTATCAGCTTTTTTGTCAAAGACCGGCTTTACCTGTATTCGTTAAGAATTTTAACTTAATTTTTATGTTTTACTAATGAATGCCAATTTATTTGTTCTACAAAGAAGTGGTAAAAAGTTGTGATGAAAATTTCAAGGGTACACCAGAGAAAAACCCTCTGAAACGTCAGGAAAAGTCTAGGATCATATGTTTGAAGGATATTTGCACGCAAATTAATTTCTCTTACATCCAATGTATTGTTGGATTTAATACATCCTCTGCTGTGTTTCATGCAACAAATGTAATGGCAATCCTTGCAATGTACTCTGTACAAGCAAGTTTTCCAGAATGCATGGTTTTTGTATAAAACCTTGACGAGATGATATTGTACACGCAATGCATTCGGGGAAAACAATTTGTTAAAAAATTAAGCTATCATAAAAAATATAAAATAATTCAAATAACCTTCCAGTAACGACATTACAGAGACTGTTCATGTCACGAACAATTTAAATTCTGCATACTTTTCATGCACATCTGTAATAGGTGAATCCAATAGAAACTAAGCAATAGAAACTAGTGTGCAATAAAGTATACATTATTAAGAGTTTTTAAATTCGTCATTATGATGTAAACAAACGGTTTGGATGACATTTCTTCTCAAAATCGTCATAAGACCCTATAGAATCTTACAGTATCCAGTTGGGTGTGCGAATGTATTCGGATAATCATTTCAAGGGAATTCAGAAAATTGGGTTGAATAATTCAAGGAAACGTTATTGTTATAGAAAGCTATGAGATTTTGTTTAGCAAAATTTCGTCGGAGATAATATTTAGAGTATTATGCAATGAAATCCTAGAATGGTACAGGCATAGAAAATAGGACTACGTCTGAGATTTCTATATGGGGGAACACTTTGTGAAAACCGAAAATGGAACATGTAACAAAATTGTGAAAGATTTTGAACATTAATAACTCAGCTGCCCCAGGACCAATTTCAATAACTTTATCACCAATCGATCAGTAATTTTTCTATGCATCAATAGCTGATGGTTTTCAACAAGAATCTATTGAAAAAGTGATTATGTCAAGCATTGTCGAATGTACAAACAAAAAGTGAAAATATTATCACCGTTCTTTCCAAATCCAGTCGTCATAATCGAGTACCACTTGGTTGCACATTGTTCTGCTTTAACATGAAAAGATATAAAAGAGCGCTGCTGCCTAGCTTCAACTTACTTCGCATCGGACGGCGCGGTGAGCAGGCAGCAGAAGCATCAATAGCAGCAGTAGGAAGGTGGTGACAGGGTAGTCCACTCTTCTACCCAACATGCAACAAGGTCGTGGAAAAGGAGGAATAGGTCTTGGCAAAGGAGGCGCCAAGCATCATCGCAAGGTTCTTCGTGATAACCGCCATCCGTCGTCTGGCTCGCGGTGGCGGTGTTAAACGTATCTCCGGTTTGATCTACTAGAAAACACGAGGTGTGTTGAAGGTGTTCCTGGAAAATATGATCCGTGATGCTGTCACCTACTCTGAACACGCCAAGCGTAAGCAGCCATGGATGTCGTCTACGCTTTGAAGCGACAGACGCACTCTGTAGGGTTTCGGAGGTTAAATCATCACCAACTTTGGCAACAAAACGGCCTTTTTCAGGGCCAACAAGTTTATTACAGTAAAAAGTTTGAATATAATTTATCTGTGCCTGTTTGTCCATATTCAGAACCACACCCCCAACGAGCACACAAAATGCTCTCCAGAATTGTAATCTTGTAACCATACTTGGCAGCAGGGATGTAAGCGATTTTGGTCGATTCTCTTCATCAACTTTCTATTTGAAAAACAAACAAAAAAATACTACAAATTTGGTACGCCCACAGTTAAAAAATCGAAAAAGTTAAGATAGTACATGATCGATTAATTAAAAAAACTGAATGCTCTTCACATTGGATACGTCCACCAGCGGTCCTACGTCAGCTTCCGTTCGTGCCCGTAGGCACAAACCCATATACTTTTTAAAAATTTTAACACTCTGTAATGAGTAAGAGATCAAACGTGTTACATTTTTTTCCATATACAGCATAAATAACACCTTTTTTTTTTGTTAATTACTTTATTTGTACAGGCTCAATCGAATAAACTTTACAGAGCCAAGTTATCATTTTCTTTATACATTATAAATGTCTTAAATCTAAAATTAAAGGATTGGAACCGATTACTCGCGGTCTTCTCGAGGTTAGTGGATGACAATTGTTTGGATCGGGAGAGGGAAAAGAAGATTTGGAATATGATTTATGATTAAAAAATTTCACTAAAACATATACGACGTTATATCAACTCTGTAATTATACAATTATTACAGAAACAAATCTACAAAAAAAAAAAAAAAATACACACACACATACAAAACACAAACTAAACACAAGGTTAATCAAACTTACAATCTATGGTTAATATTCTTCAAGAAAACATATATGAGTTGCATAAACTCCAGATCGCGTCTAGCCAAAATATCCCGAACTGGAACATTAGGTTGTCTACCTCGAGCCCGAAGGGAATCGTACAACTCGGATCTGACTCCACGGTGCTCAGCACATGACCAAATAATGTGATCTGCGTCCTGGTAACCTTGTCCACATTCACAGAGATTACTGTCCCCCAGCTCAACACGGAACAAGTGAGCGTTTAACGAGTAGTGATTGGACATGAGGCGAGACATCATACGAATGAAGTCTCGACCCACATCCAACCCCTTGAACCAAGGATACTTCGACACCTTAGGGATGATTGAATATAACCATCGTCCCAAACTCCCTTCACTCCATTTATTTTGCCAGCTGGCGAGGGACTGTTGACGATAAATGAAGAAAAATTCGTCGTAGGCGATTTGTCGATCGTAAATATCGCCTTCCATAGCGCCCACCTTTGCAAGCGAGTCCGCCTTCTCATTGCCCGGAATCGAGCAATGAGATGGGACCCATGCAAAGGTGATGACAAAAGATCTTAAAGATAAAGCACTTAGAAGCTCTCGTATTTTCATGAGAAAATACGAGGAGTGCTGTACCGGCCTCATGGAGCGAATAGCCTCGACAGAACTGAGACTATCCGTAAAAATAAAATAATGATCTGGTGCAAGTGAGGCGATCGTTTCTAGCGTATAATGTATTGCCGCCAGTTCCGCAACATATACGGAACAAGGAGCATGAAGCATTAGAGAGGCGCTATGAAATTCGTTATAAATACCAAAACCAGCGGACGCCTCTATTAGTGATCCATCTGTGAAGAACGATCTTGCGGAATCAACTTGGCCAAACTTTGCAGCGAAAATTGACGGAGCAATCATGGAACGATGATGCTCTGGGATTCCG